GATTCACATCCAGCAGCAGAAGTGAGCTAGCTTCTGCACACTGCCAGGCTAAGACCAGGTCCCACCCCGAATGAATAGCCTTCCACAGTTGTATTAAGATAGTGACCAGATTAACTGCTTGGATGTTTCACAGAAGATTGCATCATGGCATTGACCACACTAAATCCTGTCATGGGATTTGAAGCACAATGACCACAGAGCTTTTCCAAGGTAAACACAGATCAAGCTGGTTCTAGTGCAGGCCTCCAACAGCGACCTGTGGACCTGCGCTTGCCTGAATAACATTGTGGACTTCATCATCTACTGGGTTACAGCCACTTCTTCTCCAAGGAGGTCTGGTCATTAGCAACTGCCTTCCCTTTCTATTGCCATATTCAAGTCAGACCTGATCCAGGGTGACCCCATGTGTGCACAGAAATGCTCCATGGTATGTTCAAGGTGACGCCCTTTAGGAAGCAGACCCCAGGCCTGTCCTCTGAAGTGCCGACTGCCAATCTTTCAGCTTGTACTGGAGAGCTTACCTGTTTTCACCACCCAAAGTTCTCTTTGTATTACCGTTTCCTTAGTACATTTTCTGTGGGACTTCTATCTTCCAATTACCATATATACTCGTGTATAAGCCGAGTTTTTCAGCACTTTTTTTTTAATGCTGAAAAAGCCCCTCTCGGTCTATACTTACCTCGTCTTCGGTGCACTGTAGGTGTTCTCCGGTCTCTCCTGCTCATCTGCGGGCTCCTGCAGCCTCTGTGGGTGGTCCATGACTGCTGATATCACCGCTCTTCTTTCTCCTGCTCGCCGGCAGCATGTGTTGTTCGTGCTGTGCTGGGCGAGAACCTGCCCGCTTCTGTGTGCTGGTACTGGGGGACGTTCATTGTCAGATGAATGTCGATGCGGCCGCTCTTCTTCGCCGGCTCTTCTCCATGGCTGTGGCCTCCACAGTCTTACCCGTGCAGCGTGTATATTATGAGCCCTAAAGCAGGCTGCTCTATGCAGTCATGTCGTCACATTCTGGAATATCATCAGCCTGTGTTAGGCCCCAAACTGTACAAGCTGCGTTGTGTACATGCGGTAAGGCAGCATATGTAGTGATGCGGCGCATGCAGTAACACAGAGTGAATAGTTATTGTTGATACCATATTGCTTTCGTTGACCCTCTTTTCCACTTACAGATCTAGTTTACTGTTTTTCTTTGAAATAAACATTCAAAAACATTGAACCTACTGATGCCTCAATTAATGTAATTTTATTGGTATCCATTTTTATTTTGAAATTTACCAGTAGCTGCCACATTTCCCACTCTAGGCTTATACTTCAGTCAATCAGTTTTCCCATTTTTTTGTGGTAAAAATAGGTGCGTAGGCTTATATTTGGGTCAGTTACTACTCGAGTATGTACGGCAGGTGCTGAATCAGGAGCTTTCTAAGAGGATGTCTTGCTCTTAGGAGAGAGGTGAAAGATCCCCATATAAATCATCTAAGTAGTACAAAAGGAGTTTATAATTAAGAGCCAGAATCCGACATGTAGAAACTATTTCGTAATGGAGGGGCTGCAGTGGAGAGGAAATGAAAGGTGGGCAGGATCAGCGAAGGAAAATTGATAGACAAGAATTGTAGAGGTGGTGATTGTTAAGGTGTGAGCTGGTTCTGGAGAGGAAAACTGGCATGGAGGGTGGAGAAAATCTTTCTGGTTAGAGGAGGTGGTTTGTGAGCAGAAAATCTGAGGTCAAGTGACAAAATAGCTGAGGAGAGAAGATCATTAAAGGTTCATTTAAATAGCATAGAAGTTTATTTTTTCTTTCTTAGTTATAATGTACATTCAATGGATTTTTCATGCGAGCTAATTTATTAATAATATTACCTAAAAAACTAAAGGCTATATATATACACATATAAATAGATAGATGAGTTTTAACATGTAATATGGAGGCCCATTTATTATTTACTTTATGACTAATCCAATTTCTATGTTAATATTGTATTCCTAGGAGTATGACTTAAAGATTGAAATGGGAAGTTTCTGATACTTGTATTGTGCATTTTTGAATGCCAAGATACTGTTAGTCTGTGGGTTGCATGTAGGATTTATATTAAAAGGTATGAAACCTCTCTTTAGTTTTAAAGTATTTATTATCATTCATTTGATTTTCCTCATATTTTCATTATTCTGTTTAAAAGTGGCATTATGAAAATAGCACTTGTTTTACTATAACTCTGCACATGTACACATTTATTTAGGATGCAGACATTGATTTAGAATTTTCAGAGCAGAGGATACATATTCTTTTGTCCTTTCTACTTATCTATCTATCTATCTATCTATCTATCTATCTATCTATCTATCTATTTATTTATTTTCATTGCCGCATTGCTCTCTAGAAAGAGGTGTGTGTGTGTGTGTGTGTGTGTGTGTATGTTTTCCCAATCTCGAATTATATTTTTGCATTTTCCATTGCTTAAGACTAAAGAATATATGTAAGGTATATGATATCTGTGTGAACTCAGATATTATTTTATGATCTCTTAATGAAGAGAGATAAATCACAACTAACTAGTATTAAGTTTTATTAGAAATCTGAGTGATCATTTAGCTGGAGCTAGAACAATAGCAAATAATCTTAAAACAAATACCTAAGAAAACTGGTAGTCAGTTATTCCAGAAGACTGCAGAAGTAATTTTTTTTTTTAGAACTTGATAAGAATAGCATAGTGTTTCTGTGTTTAGGATGATAGAGGTAGAGCCTGGTGTCAAACAGGCAGCTACCATGTCCAGGATTCCTACTGGGTAAATTGCTACTCTATCAAGTCAGTCTGCAGAAGCATTATACGGCTTCTGGTGTTAGTGCCTGTTCTTTCTTGTTCTAGAGCTCTGTAATAAATGTACAGTATTAGAAGATGTAGCCATAATCAGATTGCCTAGAAAAAAGCCTACTTGGCAGAAACATTCTATAGGAATGTTATTGGCAGTTACTTTATTATTTAACTTGAATTAAATGTCCAAGAAATGTTGAAATAGTTTGCCCAGGCTTTTATTTTATGACCTTTGTCTTTATAATGACCCAATTGATAATGCTTCAAATTAATATACTTTGCTCTCCATTTTTTAATAAGAAAATTATTGTAGCTTTAAAGTGAAACTGACTGAAAATTGCTAAGTAGCTTTAATGGTAAATATCACCCTATATAATTAAAATGTGAGGCAGTGCATATTTAATGGAAGAAAATGACTATTTGAAAGCCAGCAAGTCATTTAGAAATCACTATTTTTAAATGGACATTCAAAAGCCAAAATTGATGTAGAATTGTAAAGCTCATTCAAATGCATTAGTGGGTCATTGAAAACAAAACGCAACAAACCAAAATAAAAAATTCTGTAACCTAGAGGAACAGGTGACACTGTTTGAAGAGTCTGAGGCCCAGTAACTGTACATAATGTAGTCAAGATCTTTGGCATGGGTGCAGGTAAAAGCAATCGTTGTTCTGCTAAGGCAGAAGAGTGAATATGATACAATTTTTCATCAAATAGGCTGTGGACTTCCAAATGTCACTATATTCCAAGAATAGAAACATCCTGCTTCTCTAAATTGGGTTGGGATCCAGGATATCCTGTTTTGTTTTATTTGGTTGTTTTTTTAAAAGACATACTAAAACATGTACAGGAACAATGTGTTTCATTAAATCATATGTGAGTATTGGGTGAAGGAATTCCCGCTCACAGGAAAGGTGAATTGGGGAAAAATGAAATGAGCAATAATAGTAGTAACTGCCACTGTAAGATAAATGTTCAATCTCTGGACTGTGTGAAAGCATTATCATATGAATTATCCACCAAAACTCTGAACCAGAAGGTACCACTGAATAGGATTTGATTAGATTTAGACATTTGTTGCTATTGGAGTTGGAGGGCTTCGATTTCTCATGATTTGGACCTGTTGTAGGGGGTTAACTGACTTAGTTTGGCTAGGCACCAATGAGTGTTTTCGGTTAATAAGAGTACGGACATCTGATTAGTTTCACAAGTTGCCAAGGAGAGACTAACCAAGAGTGTACCAAATGTTTATTCTGTGACCTTATATCCAGTGCATTTTGGTTAAAATTATATTGAAGAAAAACATATTTTGCAACAACATTTGGGTTTTACCTTGAGTATAATAAGTGGGAATCTTTACATTTTTCTGGGATGTGTCTCTGTTGAAACCCGTAATAAGATGGGAATAACTGACTGCTACTCTGTAGCCGACCTGGACTAATTAGGAGGTGGGAGTTCAAGTTCTGTTTTTATATTTAGCCATGACATGCCCTGTGATTGACATGCAAAAGACTTTGTGAGAATTCAGAAGGTGGGCTCTTTTGGTCCTAAGAGTAATCCTATGTCTCTCCAAGTGGGATAACCCACAGGCATCCATTAAGTGAAGGGTCTGGTGGAGATTGGAGTGTTCCAAGCCAAGTTTCATGGATTCCTAGAAAGAGTGGAGGGTATATTACAGAATCGGGGCACTGGAGCTTAGTTGGCTTAGTGTGCTGGTGAGGCCTGGATGAATCTCCTGTGCTCCACATTCTCAGCTCTCGTCCTCACATCAGTCTCAGCTCCTCATTTAGCCCTTATTCTCGTTCCAAAAGAATGAGAACACCAAGGCTCAGCGTGGCTAGTACATTGCATAGGTCACACAGCTTGCATAAGGAAAATGACAAATCTTTAAAAAATAAACTATATCAATTAGGTATTGTTTGTTTTGTGTTGAAATCACTTCTATTTAATAATTCAGTGCCTTTGTCGCTAACCTTTCTATACCTCAACTTCTTCACTTATATAAGAGGGATAAAAATAGATTGCGGTAGAACCATGAATACATGTTGTGCATATGGAAGAATGTAGCTTAGTAAGTAGTCAGCGAGTCACATGAGAGATCTTTTGCGTTAAATGTAATCATTTTGCTATTTTATGATTGTTATATTTTCCACTTAACTTAAATGTGTATTTAACGTTATATTATGTCATTTCAGGTTCCTACATGATAGTGGACTCTTCAAATCATGACCCTGGAGAAAAAGCCAGACTTCAGCTGCCTACGATGAAGGAGAATGACACTCATTGCATCGATTTCAGTTACTTGTTATACAGCCAGAAAGGGCTGAATCCGGGCACTTTGAACATATTAGTTCGAGTGAATAAAGGGCCACTTGCCAATCCCATTTGGAATGTGACTGGCTTCACCGGGAGAGACTGGCTTCGGGCTGAGCTAGCAGTGAGCACCTTTTGGCCCAATGAATATCAGGTAAACACCTGTGCTTTTCCAGTTTATGCTTTGATGTCATTGGATCTGGCTCTATGTGAGGAAGAGATTGTCACGCTAGCGTGCCCTCCCACCCCCACGCCCCCACTCTTAAGGAAATGTTAAATATATTGACACAAAAACTTTAAAGAGGAGCAAGTATCTCTAAATGTAGGGAAGAAAGTTGCTCAGGTTGAAAACTTGTTGGTTGTTCAGCAACACTCTGTTTTTATTAACCGATACATATCTATGGCTCTGGTGGAGTAGTGGTTGCATGTTGGGCTGAGATCTGCATGGTCAGCAGTTCAAAACCAGCTGCAGCTCCTTGGGAGAGAGACTGGTCTTTCTACTCCTGTAAATAATCCAAGTCTTGGAAACCCTCTGGAGCAGGGGTCCTCAAACTTTTAAAACAGGGGGCCAGTTCACTGTCCCTGAGACCCATTGGAGGGCCGGACTATAGTTTAAAAAAAAACAACTGTGAACAAATTCCTATGCACACTGCACCTATCTTATTTTGAAATAAAAAACAAAAGGGCGAAAAACACCCGGCGAGCCAGATAAATGTCCTCAGTGGGCCGCAAGTGGCCCGCAGGCCGTAGTTTGAGGACCCTTGCTCTGGAGTCTCCATGGCAGTGAGTTTGCTATTTTTGGTTGTGGAATCTTCAGGCTATCTTTGTTTACTGACTTCTTATCATGATGTTTAGAAAATGGACATGGCATATTGATTCGTGAGACACTTATTTTGAAAAATTATATTCTTATCAACAAAATGGAATTTGGGAAATAAGTAAACAAATATTACCGTATAGGTTGAGGATTGAAGTCTGATTAATGATATTAGAATTTAAATTCTCAGCACAGCCTTTGCAGAAGATGATGGGTAACAGTGAAACCCAAATCCATTTTGAGTCCCCACGTGGATTAAGCCTTCATTGAATTCCTTCTGCCCTTTAACCATGGATGAAGATAATCTTGCCCTCAGGCAGAGTGCATTGAAAATGGAATGACCATATATACTCGAATAGAAGCCAATCTGAATATCCACCGAGGCACCTAATTTTACCACACAACTCAGTTTATACACAAGTATATACGGTACCTCCACCTCTCCTGCCAGCCCAGAGAGAGGCAGTCTTTTTTAGTGGCTTGCCCCTGGGTGTGTTGTTAATGGAGCTCACCATAATTAGGACAATATTTATGACTCCTGTCCTTCACCCATGACCTGACTGCTCTGGACCAATCTTCTAAGCTTGATTATGTAGCATAATTTATTTGTCTTAAGGATGGTCCTGTTCCTGATTCCTTAGTCTCACCTGTAACTGTGATGTATAGAACTGCCACCAACCATGAGTTTGTGACAGTTGTCCTTTGTCCCATGCCTTACTTAACTAGTATCCTGACTGATTCCTGGGATGTTTTCATGACCTGTGCTAATCCCCTCTCATGATGTGTCTGTGTCTTTGCCACTTTTAAGACTTAATACATGTCCTCTGTAAATTATTTTTGATACTGGGACTCTTTTGTACCCTGGACCAAGATACTACAGTGGACCTTAGGAAGCTGTTTACAATGACTTTGGATTTTTCTCTCCAGAAACACTAATCTAATTATGATTAAACTAGACAATTAATAGTGTCCATATTTTCTTTTGGGTGAGTCAATTTATATAATTTAGGGGGGAAATCCATTTACCAGTGTGAGGAATTGTTCAATAACTCTTATTACTAAGGTTCAATCTCTGAAAGTAGGAAGCCATCCTTTTTAAAGCTCATTTTTGCATTTGACCTTAGGTTTCATTTCTAAAATACTTAAATTGGATACCTCTTAATAGAACCCAATGTAAATTTATTTATGTAAACATGTTTTATTATGGCCTGTATGTAGTTTATAAACTAAGAACAGTTAATTCTGCTTTGTAAAAATGAACTATTCAGGTTAGTTTTCTCTTTATTCTTTAAAAGATAATTTAAAAAGAAATATATTGTTTTAATTGCTTTATCTTGTGTTGGTTTTTCTATTTTATTAGATGCCACTTATTTTATAGGCATGGTTCCAAATGGCAAGATTCTTGGATTATGTTCCTATTTAGGTTTAAACAAATTTTTCATAAGATATTAGTTGATTCCATTATTTCCAAACAGAATTGTTTTTCTTCAGTCTGGGAGAACCATCTGCTTTTTAAAAGCCCACAACTTTGGGAGGGATACTTGTGTGGTAGGGGGGTGGGTGGGGGGGTGGTATGGGTGATGGCAGCCACTTCAGTGGGTTTGTCTTTGGCATTCAGTAGGTGGATGGCTTGTCAACACTGGGCCACTCCCACAATGCATTGTAATTGTACTGATTTTGTAAGAAGCTATCATTAGAATTTAACATAATAATGAAAAGAAATGGCTCTGATTCAGCAGGATAAACTCTCAAGGAATTTAGTCTTTATAAAGCAAAATGTTGCTGTTGTGAGGTCTTACAAGTCAGTTCTGATTCATAGTGACCCTGTGTACAACAGAACAAAACAGTGCCAGGCCCTGGGCCACCCTCATTAGTGTTCTTAGGTTTGCGCCCATGCATGCAGCCGCCCTGCCAGTCCATCTTGTTGATGCCCTACGACCTTGCCAAGCGTGATGCACTTCTTGTCTCTCCTGACAACAAATAAAGACCACAAATAATAGTTCGTTACCAAATTAAAATGTAGGTGCTGGAGTCTCATTGCCTGTACTGAGCTCTTATTTGCTACTTGAGTCCATTATTTGTTTATGGAATCAACAACGGGAGGACCCATCACAAGGATGGGTATATAGCCCCCCCATCTCCAAAGCAAGGGGCACAAATAACAGAAACATTGGTAAAGGGAGACAGTGGACAATGTAAGGCATTTAATATTAATGTAAGGTAATTAATATTACTTTAAAGCAACAACAGTAAGAAAGGAAATATAAGTAGAATTTGATAAATTAAAAAAAGTATGGTTTCATTTTTTAAAATAAGTGGTATAAATATTTCCCCCAAGTTTTTATAAGCTTCATCTTTAATGTTAATTAATAATGTGATTTTAATACTTGAAGACATCTCAGCATATTTCTGCACAGATTTTTTCCTAACAGTACAGAGCTCTGCAACGCGAGCTTTAAGGATGAATTATTATATTCCAGAACTGGATGCATACTTCTTTTGTTCAGTCTCATTTTGCATGATGAAGCTCTCTAGGTTATATGTGCATAGTGTGTTTAAGCAAGTTTCAACCTGGCCAATGATTTTTGGAGATCCATTCTAAGGATAAAGCCCTGATGGCATAGTAGTTACACATTATTCTGTAACTAGCAAATCCATCAGCTGCTCCAAGAGAGAAAGGCAAGGTTTTCTATGTCTGTAAAAAGATACAGTCGTCTCAGCAACCCACAGGGGCGGTTCTACACTGTTGTTATGAGCCAGGAATAACTCGATGGCCGTGAGTTTCGTTGGCAGAATGTGGAGTCCTAGTGGAAGATGAGACTTTCTACTCCCTTAAAGAATTAGTCTCAGAAACTCATTGAGGGGCAGTTCCACCCTGTCCTAATGGTCTGCATCCACCTTATGGCAGCGAGGGAGGTGACACAGAAATAAAGCACTCAAGTGGAAATGAATAGTCAGTGGTGGATGGAACCACTGTGGGAGAAAGGTCTGACAGTCTGATAATTCTGTAAGGATTTATAGCCCTGGGATCTCTGTGGGTTCTACTCTCTCTTACAGGGTCACTGTCACTCTGATTTGGAGTTGACTGGACAGCTGTGGTTCCTTTGATTGTTGTTGTTTTATAGTCACAACCTATGGACAAGTGTTTCTTTGTTGAAGATTAAAATTTGGACCCTAAGTTGTTTCTTAATTGGTTATTTTGCTTCCCCATCTTTTTTCCTTAAGCTGCAAAACTTAACAATCAATGAAAAGCAAATAACAGAGTAGAGTATTTTTTATTCATGTGCTTAGTGTTCAATAAATACTTGATTGATGTTTTTCTCAATTCAGTCACTTAGATACCGAGTTGTACCTGTACATCAATTATTAGAAACAACCACCATCCCATAAAATATATTTACGTAGCATATTTGCTATTAGGAAATAGCTTGGAAACACTTTTGACTAATGCAGAATACTTATGGATTTTAGATTAAAATACAGCCGTTATATTTTGCCAACCTCCAAGCTCTTAGTAATTTTTTCTGTTAAAGAAACACTGCATGCTTTCCCCTCTGTATCAGACTCTAGTTTGGTGGAGTTGTGCTATACATAGAAATGATTATCTTTGGCTTTATAATTTTCTCATCTTTAAGGAGTTTGCACCTTCTACAAAACTTTTACCTTAGCCATTTGTTTTCTCTCATTTTCTCAGCCCCCTTTTTATCCATCTCTTTTTATTAATCATTTTATTGGGGGGCTCGTAAAAATCTTATAACAAGCCATCATTCAATTGTATTACACACACTTGTACATATGTTGCCCTCAATATTTCTTTCTACATGAGCCCTTGCTATGAGCTCCTCCTTTGCCCCCATCCTCCCTCCCCTACTCTTCCACCCTTGTGAATCCTTGATCAATTATATATTATTATTGCTGTTTTATGCCTTACATTGTCCACTGTCTCCCTTTACCAACGTTTCTGTTATTTGTACCCCTTGCTTTGGAGGTGGGGGGGCTATATACCCATCCTTGTGATGGGTCATCCCGTGGCCCCCGCCACTCCAGTAGCCCCTTTTCTTATGTTATGGGATTGTGATAGTGGGCTGCTAACCACAAGTTCAAACCCACTTGTGGCTTCTCAATTCTAAGTTGAGGCTCTCCGCTCCTGAGGCGCTGTGGTGGTGTAGTGGTTACGGGTTGGCCTGCCATATCAGTGTCTTCCGTGTGAAACCTCCAGCCACTCCATGGGCTGCAGTTATAGTCAATAGTCTCTCTCTTTTGTCCATATTTTATACAATACAATAGATCCATTCAGATACAATTCCGTTGTTCGATTCCATCGAGTGGGGTTATAC